GTTTTTTTCGTGGTTTTTTTCTTCTTCTGTGCGACAAGAGCTGCACCGAGAATAAACATAGATTTGATTCCAACATCTAAATGAACAGCAGTACATGAGAGGCAGCAGTTATTCCGGGTGACATGCAATCTTTTTTTTTTTATTTTATTTTTACGCACGACAAATACGTTCTTGGACCAGAGCCGAAGCCGAAGCCGACGCTCATCGAAAGTTCAAACACGCCGTTGAAATCTGACGTTAAACAAACAATCAAACAAACCAACAAAACATTGAAGTGAAAATATCCTTCAGTGGTAGAAATATTTCTCACTCTCATTTTTTTTTTCATCGAAAGTTTAAATTGCCCTAAAGTCAAATACAAATCTTATTTTGACGCACGGCTGACTTCGACGGCCACGGTGACGTTTTGTGGTTGTGATAAAAAAAAAACGACACAACTCCAAACTGAGCCTCGTGTTGTTTTCTCACGTTCTCCTTTTGAGAACCTGTGCCGAGACGAGGAGAAGTGGCGCGTGTCGGTGCGTGACAGCTCGCGCGCCGGTACGCACGGCGACAACGCGTCAAAAGAGTGGATATGAAGTACGAAACAAGTCACAAGAAGGAGTGAAAAGTGAATTCTATATCAGTGGAGTGACTCACCTGGACGGAGAGTTCATGTCAGTGACGCAGCATAACCACGGTCCCCGTAGATACGACGGTGCAAAGCTGTGTGATGTATCTGGAAAATAACAGCGCGACTCTGATTAGGATCCACATGCAGTTCCAGAAGGAGTCGAAACATAAACGTCTAACAGTTGGGAAAAGAGTTGACAAAAAAAATTGAAAATAATACAGGTAAAAATCCAAGGATTTGCTGCTGAGATGGTGGAATTGTAATCCGCGCCGAAAGTGTGGAAACCGCTGAAGCAGAGGACGTAAACAAACTCCTAACTCTTTTGTCTGTGCTCTGAGGAGATTTCCTCTCCTCCGCCCTCCCTCCTTCTCTCTGACACTCGACTGAACGGCCCGTCGGTGCACGAGCTGAAATGAACTCGCCTTTTCTTCTCATTCTCCTCCTTCTCCTCCCCTCTCCTAACTGAGATCCCACCTACCTACGGGTGGCGTTTCTTAGCGCAGACTCCGGTCTCCCCCTGCTGTCACAGATGGGAACAGTCCGGCGTTAGTAGAAAATGTGAATAAAGTATTTATTTAAGTGTTTTCTAATCTAGACCGAATACATTTTAACACTTTAATCGATCATAAACATAACGTCTTTATCTTTTTCTTTTATGTTATATTTTGGTTGTGAACGATTGAGCTTTTGATTTGACAGTTGTCGGTTTAAATCCCTGCCCCGTGTTTTATTGATGGGTTAAACACAGAGAATAATTTTCCCATAAAAAATTAATAAAGGACTGAAAATTTAATGGTAAAAAAAATATTTAACAGGTTTTCATTATTTTAATTAGCTCACAGAAACGAAGTAATTTCACAAAAAACTATTCACATATTAAATTTGTATTTTGTACAAACAAATACAATTCAACTGTATCTAAAAGTCTTGTGGAAATTAACAACACAAACTGCTGAACATCTGGCACTTAAAAAAAATAAAAATAAAAACATTCACGCTCTGTTACTTGTTTTAGCCTGTGTGCTAGCTGCTGTTGCTAATGCTAAAGCTACCTCAGTGCTCGCTTTGTTTTTTGTCTGTATACTTTTTATATCAACTTATTACCTCTGTTGTGTTTCGACTAGTAAACGTTTCCTCTCCTTCTGGGATTTCAGCCGAAAACAGACGGTAAATTGCAGCCATTTTGTCAATGATAAACGCCTCCAGGCTGTGGTTAGCTGGGGTTAGCTGTGGTTAGCTGTGATTAGCTCATTTGCTAATGGCTCTGCTGTGGCGCAGGGGAGGTCTGTCTGATACTAGATCAGTAATTTTATGGGTTTCAAATTAAATATTATTATTATTATTATTATTATTATTATTATTATCATTATCATTATTATTATTATTATTATCATTATTATTATTATTATTATTATAAACACAACATCATTATCCACTAAACCATCTGATCTGATGCTATGACACATTTCTCCCAGATGTTTCTAATTGTGTCTTACTAGACTCACTGGTCTGGGTTTAATCTGATCTCCTCCAGGTTTTGGTGTTCAGCAGACTTCAGTCTGGTCTTGGAGGTGTCTCTGCAGAAGGAGTTGGACTTTTTCACGGAGTCCAGTGCAGTCCAGTTCCATTACAGTGCAGGACTTACATACGTGTAGTTTTTCTGTACTTCTGACAAACATCTGTGGCTACTTGACTCCTGGAAATGTTTTTGGTGACTAAGGAACTACTCATGGAATAATCAGTTCCAGGTTTCACATCCTCGAAACTAAAGAACAGACACAACGCTGCAGACGAGCGACTTGGAGCTTGGATAGTCCAAGTGTCCAGGTACTTGCATGCATGTGAAAGTCAGAGAGGGCAAAAATGTTACATCTTTGGAAGTTTAAAATATTCAAACTATGGTTGTGATGGCAACAGGATCTCAGAGTAAAACATAAACAAAATGAATCCTAATTTATTTCTACCTCACATGTTTCTAGGTTGAAGACTTGTGGTTAATGTTCCCTCTAGTGGTGATTACTCCACTCTGTTCTCAGTAAGGTTTGCCTAGGATCCCTGGAATCAGGGACCAACAATGAGTCTACTGTGTGGACCAAACTGTAGGCAGTTATTTCAGTCGACCACAAACAGTGGTGGCTGATGGGAGTGATAATGTGACCGTGGCCACCAATCATAACGCACGGATATTCTGATGTGTTACAGTCTGACCACGATCTGTCTGGACATGACTGATGGATGTTTTTACAGTAAGAATGGACAAAAAAAAATCCTCATGTCCTTGGTTTCCAGATGAGCACAAAAGGGCAAATTCAAAGCTTTTATTTATATTTGTTTTTAAGTTGCAGATATTCATTTACATCAATTCTCTTATGACATTAAAATCACGTTGGTCAGTGAAACTCCTGACAATCAGAATCAGAAACCATTTACTGACCAGGCTGAAACGTCCATTGTCCAAAATGTACTTTTCCTAAAATATTCATCAATACTCAACGGGACGAGACAAATACTTGAACCCATTCACACACAGTTTCCCACACTCTGAGGAATTGATCAGTATTGATCGCATGTAAATAACATTGATTGGTTTAACCTTTTGTCTGGAAGTCGGGTGTGTGTGTGTGTGTGTGTGTGTGTGTGTTTTAGTGCACGTGTGTGTCTGAGATTTTGCCCATCGTACATGTGGCTAATAATAAACTACGAGGACAAAATGGAAGAATGAAAAAAACTGAGTAGAACAATCTAATAACGATGACACTGTGAATTTAAATTCATTCAAAAGACAACGAAGGGTTACACAGCTGAGCTGGATCGAAGCCACGCCCACACTGGAGTGGGGCGTGTTCTTGGACGGGCGCTGAACAGGAGGAGACAGTGAGGAGTGTCATCAACATACAGTGAACGAGCTAAACAGGGATGACTCCGTCCAGTACTCAGGATCAGTATCTGTCCAGTATTGGTCTGACGTACATGTACTCTTAGGTACTCCAAGTTGCAGTATCAGTATCAGTATCAGACATGAAGAAGTTTTATCGAGCGAAGAAACCTAAAAAAAAGTCTAAGATTAGGAAATGACCCTGAATAACCTGCGTGGTCAAAGCCTAGCAGTTAAAAGTTCAGACTTTTAATCTGAGGTTGTCAGTTCAAATCCCAACCAACTGACTCAACTGCTCATGTGGCCCAGTATTTGTTGATTTTTTTGTGTTTTTTTTTTATTTATTTTTTTTAACAGAAACAGTAGTAGAAAAATAAAAATGTTGTTGAGTAGCGTAGCGGTTAGCACGCCTGCCTTGGTGGCAGAGAGTAGTGAATTCTGGGTTCGATTCCCAGAGGAACCACACGCTAGACTGTTAATCCTCCTCTTGTAAGTCGCTATGGATAAAAGCTGCTGAATATAATTAATAATGTTAATAATGTTAATAATGTTAGTGTGTTAATAATCTGGTTTAACAATAAAAGAAAACGTCAGGAGAGTCGAGGCCAGAAGATTCAGATTTAAAGAGCGTGAAAATCATTTTTAAAAAAGCCCTGAAAATTGACAAGATGAAGAAGATCAAGGAAATGGAAAAAGTGTGTGTGTGTGTGTGTGTGTGTGTGTGTGTGCACATGTGTGTGACACGTAGCTGTGACCTCTCACAGCGTGGTGTTAGGTCTTCAGAGTCACAGTGCTATTGTGTCCTGACCTCTCACATTACAACCAGTCAATACTGTTAAAGGCATGTGCACACACACACACCAACACACACACTGAGACACACACACACGGTCCAGGTGGTCAGTATTGTCTGAGTGAATTGGGGGGGGGTCAGGGGGGGGGGGGGGGGCGGACTGCTCAACAGGATGGAGGATGGGAAAAAGAGACAAACTGAATGAATGAGTAAATGAATGAATGGGAGATTGAATGGGTGTCTCAGGAGTAAGAAAGAGAGAAGGGTGGGAAATGTAAATGGGTGTGTTGTTAGGACTACATACGTACCTCTGTAGGCACACACACACACACACACACACACACACACACGTCATGACTCATTCTCGGCCGACAGATGAGTCAGTGATGAATTTACATCTTCAATATTTGGTTTTCATTTTATTTCGTGGTCTTTTTACAAACTCATTTCAGTTTGTAAAAAGACCACGAAATAAAAATGAAAACCAAATATTGAAGATGTAAATTTGGCAAAAACTTTAAAATAAAAATAAAAAACATTTGACATCAACTGGTTGGTACTTGATGATATGATACGATATATATTGAGATACTACAGGCACCATGATATACTGAGTTTTTTGAGTTTTTTCCCCTCCAGTGTCTCTGTAGTCCCAGTGTCCTCTGCCCCTCTCCCCCTCCCCAGTGTGATCCTGGTCTCAGACTCTGCCCCCCCCAAGTGTGATCCTAGTCTGAGACTCTGTTCCGTCTGAACATCAGTTCCTAACACTGGAACAGAGGGATCTACATTTGGAATCACTAGAGAAGAAAGAAAAGAAAAAGAAAATGAACCAACACCAGGAATATTGGACTGGGAATTGGTGAGAAAAAAATCAATAACTGATCAATAACTGATCAATAACTGAGGAGGAGATTGATACAGGATCAGGATCCTAAATTTATTGTGATGTGATTCAGTGTTTGGACGTTTTCTTTAATTAACATTTAATTGTCATTCGTCTTTTTGGTCTCCTTATGTTGAGTGTCATCATGAATTCAGAGAGGAGTGGACGAGGACGAATGGACAAAGACACCAGAGAAGTTTGACGGAGGACGTGGGGAGTACTGCAGATGAAGGATGGGAGGGTGAGG